TCATAACATATTAACTAGACATTCCTCGGACTTGCCCCAACATCGGACCTAAGCCCGGAACACATAACACATAACAAACACATGCAAGAATCACAAAGACATCAAGCATACAAGCATACAAGCATTCCTCGGGACCGCCCCGGCATCGGATCGGAATCCGGAAATCATATAAACCTACTTCGGGCCCCGCCCGGCATCGGACCATGGTCCGGAACTACTGCTATCTAAACGGGTCGGCCTTAGTGCCTTAGACCCGTTCCTACTGGAGAAAACTCACCTCGCAAAGCTGTCTGCAAAAACTTGCGGTGAGGAATATCTGATAGCTGCTCCAACGACTCCCCGGCTATCAATATCACAATAATGCTTAGTCACAATATGATAATCCTTCTCAGGGTAAAATGACCATTTTACCCCTGGTTAAAGTCAACATTTTGGTCAAAGTCAAAGTCAAGGTCAACTTCCAATCAACCCCAACTCGTCGAGTCATCTCCCAACTCGGCGAGTTCATGAACAACTCAGACCCGTGGTCAACTAAGTCAACTCGTTGAGTCCCTTCCCAGACTCGTCAGGTTCCTCCTGTTATAACATCGGGACATATCGACTCTAACTCGTCGAGTCCCTTCTTGGACTCATTGAGTTCTTCAGCTTCCGAGTCCTAATCTTGTCCAACTCACTGAGTCATCTCCTAAACTCAATAGTTTCACTCACAACCAGAAAAGGAGTTAGGGTTCACGACCCGACTCCCCGAGTCCAAGAACAACTTGTCGAGTCCTCCATGTGACATATCCATTTAGTCGATTTTAATCCATTCCAATGCTTCTAACTCATAGATCTAGACTCCTTAGACTAGCATTACACATAAAGTTGCTAACTTTACGTGCATGCATGGTGTTATGAAGCTAAAACACCCAATCCAAGCCAAAATGAAGGTCTAAGTCATAGAATGGGGCCATGGCTGAATAAAGGTGGCAACTTTGAGCTTCTAAAGCTCAAGAGTGCCCAGATCTGAAGTCCTTTCATCCCCCAAGAGTTCAAATCTCGGAATGACCTTGGAAATGGCCCAAAAATGTCAACATACAAGCTAAGAAGGAGATCTAAGTGAATAACAACCAAGGTATAAGCTTTATACCTCTATGAAGACAGAAATGAGTCCTTAGCTCTGGATCTTTGACCTTCCTTCTGCAACTCCAAGCCTTTGCTTCCTTCTTCTAGCTTTAATCACAAAAATGGAAAGAAATAGCTCAAGATCACTCAAGGTTGATTAGGGTTTCAAGATTAGGGTTTGGAGGTGATGGAGGTTGGGATGGAGGCCATATATGATGCTTAAATAGGGTGGAAACCCTAAAGATTAGGGTTTCATCCAGCCTGTCCTACTCGTCGAGTCAGGACTTTGACTCGTCGAGTAGCTCACTTAAAACCCACGCCTATTCTGCCTTCTACTCGACGAGTTAGGGCCACCAACTCGTCGAGTAGCCCTTCCAAAAGAAATAAATAATAAGGTTAAAATGCATACTAGGAACCAAGCGTTACATTTGGGTTGAGAGCTGAGATTCGGAGTCGGGCCTAATCAGTTCTGTTCAGCTGTGAGGTGAGTTGTCCTCACTGTACTTGCGGGTCGAATGCACCAATGTCGGCCCACTGGATTGATATCCTGTTATGCATGCTATTGTACTGTTATGATTTGTTAGATCAATATTCTGGTAGATAGGATGTTGTTATGCTTAGTGATCTGTAGATCTGTTTGACTGGTTGTAGACTGTTATATGATTATATGTTATATGTACACATGCTTGGTCGGTGGCTGAGGCTTCACTGCTTTGTGCGTAAGCCAACATGCCGGGGCATTCCAACCCGATGGTTAAGGGCCTAGGGTATTCCATCCCGAGGATGATTGGACCCATAGTATGTTGGCATTCCAACCTGATGGTTGAGGGGCCTGGGGTATTCCAACCTGATGGTTGATTGGACCCATAGTATGTTGGCATTCCAACCCGATGGTTGAGGGGCCTGGGGTATTCCAACCCGATGGTTGATTATACCCATAGTATGTTGTTATTGTATATGTGTTATTTATTGTGTTGGTACTTTGGGGGAACTCACTAAGCTTTGGGCTTACAGTTTTGGGTTATGTTTCAGGTACATCAGATGATTGTGGGAAGGCAAAGGCTTGATCTTGCACCTCCTCATGTTATGTTTTGTGATTTTGGGAAAAAAATCTAATGTTAAACATGTTTTGAAAACTACAATGTAAGCAATTATGTTTTTTGGTTGGTTTGGAAAAGTTTAAATTTTTATGAAATTTTATGGATGGTACATGCAAGTGCCAAAATGCACGTTTAGTCTCAATTTTCAAAAATTAACTCGGACCGTGCATAATTTGTTTTAAATTTGCACGTTTTATCCCTCATTAGTTTAAAATTGCATACTTCATCTTTCGATCGACATAAAATGACTATATTGCCCTTAGTAATTTATTTTGTATTTATAAAAAAAGAAAAATAAATTAAAACCCATTATTTCATATTTAGTAATAACTTTTAAACAGTTAAACCTATCAACCCTACCCTACCCATCCCAATCAATTTATCTAGAAAATACTCTCTCTCTCTCTCTCTCTCTCTTTCTCTCTCTTTCTATCTCTCTCCCTCTCTCTCTCTCTATTCGTCTTCCTCAAACGACCTCCCCCTTGAAGCAAAAATCCGGCCATCAAACCACCACAGTCGGACCACCACCATTGGCAACCACCACCTCCCTCTTAATCATATGTGTTTTCTTCACATCCACTACTAAATCTGTTTCTCCCTTCTTTTAGATGGCTTGCGTCAATATATTATCGATCCCAACAAGATAGCAAGATACTGTCGATTTCCAACAACAACTAGGGTTTCCTTTGATGTAGATGGTTTCCGAAGTGTAGATCTCCAAGCTTCTACTATAGTCCCGACAATGATGGTCTCTCCGACTCTCTTGCTTTCACTTTCGGTATCGCACCTGAACACATACAAGTTATTTGTTTTCAGTTTCTCTTCTATTTTCTTTCTCGATTAGTAATACCGATTACCAGTAGTTGTAACACCGAGGACTACCGATCGACAATTAGGGTTTCTAAATGTCATTTGACGGTGAGGTTGTAGTAGAGGGTGGCATCGATGATGAGGTACCTCCTTCAGATCTCCCTCATCGTCTCAGATCTATAAATCCTTTATCTTCTCCGATGAGCTTTAAGAAACCCCTCCGATTTTCTAGGTTTTTTCTATAAACCCGTTGGTAAGGTCCTCTTCTTTCGGCAACATCATCTTCCTCCGACGATTTGGTAGATATGTTTGAAGATCGAACTTATAATGACAGAGCGGATCTGGGATATACAAATAAAACATTTAATTACTAACAAATAAATAAAACAACATTTAATAAACAACATTTTTAATGGATTAATAATTAATAACTATTAAATAAAACAAAAAATAAATAAATAAGGGCAAAACGGTCTTTTTATGTCCGGAGGGATGAAATATGAAAGTGTTAGATAAACGAGGGACCGTCCGAATTAATTTTTAAAAATAAAGACTAAACATGCCTTTGGACAATTGTACGATGGACGATTCGTGTAATTTTCTCTCTCTCTCTCTCTCTCTCTATATATATATATATATATATATATATATATATATATATATATATATTACAAAAAAAGCCCTCATTTAAACGAAATGTGTCTTTGGCACAGAGTGTTCAGGAGCTTTTGTTTCTAGCGTTTGACAAAATGATTCGTTTTGAACAAAAAAAACTCGTTTGACACTAAAAGTTTTTAGCGTTTAGTTTAAACAAAACGCTCCAAATATAAAAGTTATCTTACTTAGTTTTAACAAAACGCTAGCAGCTACCCGCTACCAGCTAGTTTTGCCGATCACGTCCGAAATATTCAGAGCCAAACATTTTTTTGAATGGTACTTAAAAGGTATCTCTAAAAAGGACATTAATTTGGGTGGTTTGCATATAATTGGAATTATTAAAAAGAAACTAATATGATAATAAGTTATTTTGTTTTTCTTTGAAACGGTTACACTATATATATCCATCTCGTTATATATTATATAGAAAAATGTAAAATACATATTTATATCCCCACGTAATATTTACATTCTATAACTTTAAACATTTTTATAGAATTTTTAAATTTGTTCATAGAATAAATATAAATATAAAAAAGTAGTTTGTGAAGATAGTCTTTGTTCTATACTTGTTTCCTTTTCAATCTTGAAACAAACGTGAAGTCCTACTTTTATGATCAAAAAAAGGCATTTGACTATTTAGCCCTTCAATAATGATGGTTATTTGATTCGACAATCCAAAAGTATGACATGTATTGACTAAATAAAATCATATCTTTCTTGGACCATTTCATTTTGGAGTGTAAATAAAATAGCATATATACTGATATACATCTTTATGCAATACAACTTCAAACTTATCTAAAAAAACATATTTTACCATTATTAAAAACATGACATTTTTACTTATATAATTAAAAAAGCATCATGTGTTCCACATTAATTTAGTATATCTTTTTTTAGATTTATATATCTTTGACCAAAATAAAATAAAAATAGAAATAATAGCAAAATGTGAAATGAAAGATGGCCTTTCCTAATTACAAAGAGGCCTCAAGAGATGCTTTTCACATTTCTCAAAAGCCAATGGCCTCTTGCTCCATACTCACTCTTGCAGAATTTCTGCATGTTACTAATACCAACTACACACACCGATGTTATAATTGCACCACACACACATTCCCATCGTTAAATTACCAAAATACCCTTTTGTGGGACCCAAAAGATTCAAAATTTCACATGGGAATAATATGCTCAAACATGGCATTGTTGAATCATCATGTTTCTTTATCTCAAAATACAAATGGTATCTCATATGAAGCCAAGAATCCAAGAAAGTGGCATCAACCAAAATCAAGAAAACAGTAAAAAAAAAAAAAAAAAAAAAAAACCTAACCTGCAAAATTTCACTCTCTGTATAATTTTTTTTTTTTTGTCTTTTTAAACTTTTATAAGCTCTTTTAACATTAATTAATCGCCGCGATATACTATTTATCTATAAAGATATGTAAAAAATTATACACTATCTTTTCCAGAGATATGAAGATGACTTTTCCAGCAATTATTCTCAGATTTCTCATCTTCAACATCATCCATGCTGTCACCGGCGGAGGTGCCGCCAGTGGTGGAAGTTCCGGCGGTGGTGCAGTTCAGGGGTCCATCAGGAGAACCTGATTGATGACAATCTTTGTACTTTGATGATTCAACATACTGATCTTGTGTCCACAAAGGAACAGCAGATAAATTTGAGGATGGAAGTCTTCGTGTATGAAGCCGATATTTCTAAAATTGATAATAAAACAAAAAAACCCATTTAGCATTTCGTAAAAAAATTTATATAATTGCAGAAAGTTTATAGAATTATAGAAATTAGATAAATAACTCACTTGCAAATGACTCTTGACTTCATCATTGGTGAGACCATCCACTCGCATAAGTTCACGAATTTGCTTGGGGGTAGCAACTGCAGGAAAATCAGAACAAATATTAATTAATTATTATCTTGATTAATCATATTTATTTTCTCTTATGATGATCAAATATCTTAAAAGATATTGACTGAATTGTGCATAGTGTTCAAAAGTTAAATGTTCTACAAAAGTATTACAAGTTACAACCCAACAGTCTGTTAGCTGGCTGACAGTAACAGTACTTTTGGTAATTGCAATTAAAAAGTTTAAATGTAAATTTTATGGTTTTCATGAGCCAACAATGATTAACAATTATGTATGCAACAAAGATTGATCCTATAAAGCAAGATATAATCCAATCTTTAAACAACCAAATACCAATTCACAAGTTGTAACTATGATCCAAAATTCATTTTACCATTTTAGTTAAAATCTAACATTTTAGCATGAAAAACAAAAAAGATTTACTTTTCAAGAACTAACCTTTTGAGCCTCCAAGTAGTTGAAGAGCATTTAAAAAGCGTCTATGCAACTCAGTGGACCAACATCTTCTTTGTTTCCTAGATGTTTGTTGTTGTGGTGGCTGAGGTTGAGAGGTACCAATCTTTACATTTGATTGAATAGCATTAGTTTTTGTTACAAAACCATTTCCCCTCATTGGATTCTTGATTCCAGGGGTAATAAGGGAAAGCCCAGGAATTGGTAATTCCTCCTTATCTTCATTCCTTGTAAAGTATCCCTTAAATGGGATGAACTCTCTCCTAGAATTCCCATTATATGGACTTTCAGTTATTCCATCTTGTTCTTCATCAACTCGCTATAAGCAAATTGAAATATAAAATCATAAGTGAATAGTTCATATTCTATAGATTTAATCAAAAATGTATCATCACTATTTTCAATTTTTACCTTTTGGATTACTTGTTGGACTGGATTTTGTTTTGGAATATTGTTTTGCTTTGTGTCTGGATTGTTATCATTTGTGTTCCAGAGCAGTGTAGAGCTCAACCAATTCTTCTTGTCACCATTGTCGGTTTCAGGTTTTGGATCTTCATCACAGGTATTGTTAAGTGGTATAAATTCTTCAAGTGTTGGTGGGTTTGCTGATTTCTTGAACAAAGTCAATTCCTCTTTTAAAGTAACAATTGCTGAAAAGAACAATGGATTACACTATCGTTAACGAGTAGCAAACAAATGAAATCATCTAGCATTCAAGCAATTCATCAAACAGTTAACACATCTTCATTGTTTTAGTTCTACACATAATTAGAAAACCCATCTGAAAATGTGAATAAAATCAAAAACCCAACTCCAAATGCGATTGAATCAACAAAAAGAGTAAACATACATCTACCAAATTATTGAGAGAAGTAAAAACAGAGCTATATAGAAAGAAAACAGAGGAACGAACCATCATTCATAAGAAGCATACAGAGAGGAAGTTCGCGTTTAAACGCGTCGATTTTCCTAATCTCCGTCTCTAATCTGCTAACAAAATCATCAACTTTCAATATCTTCTCACATACGCTGCCGATTCTAGCCACTTCTCCCAAAAATTGACTGATTGTCTTAGGGATAAAAGTGGGTTTGAAATCCAAGCTTAACTCGGGGGCCGGATTCAATATTTCCATCAAAACTTTTTTCCTTTTCCGATTTGATTTGCTGTTGTTTATGATTTTGATGATCAAGAATGAAACCCAGATAAAAGCAGAGGAGAGTGGTGATCTATATATACTTGTTCTGTAGCTATTATTCTGTGTGGAAATGGTGAAAATTCGTAGGGAAAGATTAAAAAAGGGAACAAAAGGAATCTAGAGGGTTGTGGTTTAGATTAATCATCGAGAGGTGGAGAAATGGAAGAACTCAGATTCGTTTTTTTTTCACAAGGCCGGATTTTGACAGTGTTTATGTGTATGCACATCTGTCGCTCACTCGGCCCGTCGCGTATATAATCTTTGTGAGAAAATTACATACATGTCCCTTGACTTCCGCCAATTTACAGGTTTAGTCCATATGTTATCTTGCTTTTGACTCATTCTAAAGAATAACAAATTGATATTCAATAAGAAAATTTAAGTATACACATAAAGTTGAGCAACTTAGATTCGGGTGTATCTATTATAATAAAATGAAGATTCATTTTGTCACATGTCGATCTCTAATGAGTTTTGACACTTGTCATTTTATAATATTTTTAAAAATAAATAATATTAATGTGTAAATTTCTGGGTTTTTTCAAATTTTACATTTAAAATGCCACATAATGCTTGTATTTTTATATGTAAAGTATTAAATGTGATAGTAAACTTGCAATTAATACGTTTTCTTCATTTCTTATTTCTTATTTTATTTTAAAAAATACTTATTATTTACTTTTGATATTTAATATTTTTTTTAATCAACCCGTTTAATACACGGGTTTTACACCTAGTATATATTATAATATATTATAATTTTTAGTTTCTTAAGTTATGAAATATACAACTTTAGCCTTTATGCTTTAAGCTTGACATATCTTCAAGGGATAATTACAATGAAACTACCAAAACTTGCAAAAAGTTTTTGATTAGATCATTGAATATAAAAACATTAAACAAGTTCATCCATCTTTAAATTCGGTGTCATTTATTTTGTATATAGTCTAAAATATCTCTAATTGCCCAACCTAAAACGTGAAACAATACTGAATAAATTGTTAATAATTCTAAATTTTTGTACAACAAAGAGATTAATGTGTATATTAAACAAAGTCTTGGAATTTTGACAATGTGGTTTTCAACGGTTTTGCATTTTCGTAATTAAGTGATCTAATGGTTAAAGCCACCAAATAATATTATCGTAAATATTGATTTGAGTACTAAACGCAACCATTCAATTTAAGTTTTTAATAATCAAAGAATAATTTGTGTGAGACACATTATGCAATGTTGGTCATACTAATTTATGATATTCATGTTCCAAGTACATTATTACATAAATGAATGGATGAATAGTATTATATGTAGACGATGAAATAATTTGTTGAATAGTAAGAAGTAGTTCAAAATATTAAATATGCTCAACAATAAAATATCCACCAAAAAGACAGCTAAGGATTTAAACACATTGATACATCATGAAGTGAATTTGATTATCATATTGGGTATAAGTTTAAATTACACGTCTATATTTTTTAGGTGTAATCAAACTACTAACTTTTGTTATAGAATTTAACCTCATAAATGCTCTAATGTTAAGCCCAAAACATTAACTAATAACTTCAATACTGACATTATTTTAATTAAAAATAAATCTATAATAACAGGTGGCGGAGCCAGCTAGTAATAAGAGGGGTCCAAGCACCCCACCTGAAAGATGATTACAAACACATTATTACCAAATATACCCTTCAAAAAAATTTCTTTTACAAAGAAACCCCTTCCATGGCACTCACTCTTACAAGAAAAGTCCATCTTTGATAAATTTTTTGCTGAAAAAAACTAAGAATATACTAAAATTTAAAAGCGTTGCATTTTTTTTATATAATAGACCCCGGTTAACTTCCGTCCTAGATCCGCCACTGATAATAACCATCATATCATAAAAGAAGTATGTTTTCTTGTATATTTTGATGAAAATGATTTTGTAAGCACATGGGGGTAATACGAAAGAACACTAGGAAGGGGCAAAGTTGTCCTTTCAACAAGTTTGATGAATAAACAATGAGAATGCTACAGTAAAAGAATCTTCTAGGTAAAGGAATATATGGTTGAGCTATATCCACACTCCAGATTCCGACATGTGTTTCACAAATGAAAAATATCTCTATTTATACGATTAATCAGTTTGGATTTTAGTTAAACTTGGAAAATATATAGAATGATTAATTTCAATTGTGATAATTTTATACTAAAAACCCATACATATAAACTGGAATATACAATAATGAAAACTTATGATGCGAATTAATAACACTATCTTGTAATAATGATAACAAATATAAACTTTTGATCCCAAAGTTTATATAAAAAAAATATAATAAGTAGTTCATACTAATATTGATATGACGTGAAACGATAAGCATGATGATAGTCTTTGTAATATTCGAATTTCTGTTTATTGATCTTTTCACACCTACATATTAGGTATCATTTTCTAACAAAAACGAGACATTAAAGTTTGTGACACAATTTCAAAAAGGAATGTGCTATACGAGGTATATGTTTAATATAACTTATATTATATGTCTAGCATGATACAAAAAATAAACAATTTTCATTTAAGGCATTGCAGCAAAAATAGCGGATAACTAGTTGATGGGAAAAGATATTTCGGATCTGTTATAGTCATAGGTCTAGTCAGAAAGATTTGTGATTGTATATGGTTTAGGTTATACCCAAACTCGTAAATTTATTAATAAACTAGTTTGTAACCCGTGGAAACCACGGTTATAAAATTAATTAAACTTTTATAATAAAAATTTATAATTATTAATCAATTATTTTAAATAAGTTATTTTAAATAAATTATTAATTAATAGATATATCAAATTTTTAAAGTTATTATAACTTCAAATTTAACATATAATGTAAATTTGAATTTTGAAATGAGTTGTCTAATATATTTATATGACACATAGCATAATATTAATGAGAAGTTGTATTAGAGTGACAATTGGCAAAAAAAAGATTAAAACTATTCATTTATTAGAATAGGGATGTCGTTTAAGTAGCGAATATTTTTATTGTTAAGAAAAACTCGATCACACTTATTATAAGTTTTTTTGATTTATTTATGTAAAAATTTATTTTAAGCATAAGAGCTATATAGCTCTTTATAGATAAATTTGTTTTGTTGAATCATGAAAAGTAAAAATTAATCTTGTCTTTCTATATTTTAAATTTTCATATTTCTTTTATATTTCATATTAAGAAAAATTGTATCTAAATCGATCTTGTGTTAGGGACTTAGGGTGCTTCTCAATCTTCCAAAAGAATGGTTATCGACACTCTACCATCTACCATAACAAATAAAGATCAATTTTGACAAATGTCAACTTCTCATTGGATTTGACATGTGTCATTTTCTGAGATTTTTAGAATTATTTTTTTCCACATGTTTTTTGAAGTCGAGTGGAATTGAATAGTGACTAAGTTGGGATCGGGTGAGATATGTTTCTCACGACGTGATTATGAGTTGGTCACAACGTGATGGTCAACTGATGGAGGATTGATCGTTGACCTTGACCTTGACCGTTGAATTGTTGACCTAGTTTGAAGTTTGGTGCAACTTAGAAGTTAGACTAAGGTGGGACCCTATTTGATTTAATAAGTGGGTTGTAGCATCGTTCGTGTAGCAATGAGTTGTATTTTAGTTGATTCCGTAAGACATGTGAGTCTCTTCACTATACTCGTAGGTCGAAGGCACCAATGCCTGCCTACTCGATTATGCTATGTAGGATGTTGACTGTCTTTATCACTCTTTCATGTATGTTTGGGTTGGAATATACCCCAAGGCTGGGCCCATAGATGTGTATTGGGTTGAAATATACCCCAGGGCTGGGCCCAATAATATGTAATGGGTTGAAATATACCCAAGGGTTGGTCCCACTAATTTGTATGATATGTGGTATTTTGGGGAAACTCACTAAGCTTTGTGCTTACGGTTTTGTGGTTTGATATTTCCAGGCACTTCCAGTTCGAAAGGGAAGAGCTCGGCATGATCGCGCTGCATCCTCTTTTAATTTCCGCATCAATGATTATTCTACTATGATGTTTTTGATACATTGTGTTATGATGATTTGAGGTACATGCTCTATGTTTTATGATGATTTACAAAAATGAAAAATTGTATCTCTATTTCTGGGACGTTACAAGTTGTTATCAGTGTCTTGGTTTGAGGGATTCAGACACACTCTCGGGTGTGTCAAAACTCAAACTGAGGAATTGATAACCTTTTAAAAAGAAAAATGAGTTATCTAAAAAGATTTTTACAAAGAAAAAGGGTGCGATGCGTGCAATCATCCGAACACAAGTAAGTGATTCCCAAAATACTCATACCTGTGTATTATGACTAGTATGCCTGATATGTGAATTACATGCTAGAGTAGGGATGAGGATATCTTCAGGAATCGTATGACAAAATTGTCTTATTTGTGTGATGCCTTGTAGCATAGGAGAGTTTAGATGATATGAATTACTTGGAATCAATATTGACAGAGTTATTTGCTAAGTGTATGTTCAAACTAGGCGAATGCCTGCACGTTGTGCAGAAACACCTATATAGTTGAAGTCTTTACAAATATATGTTTTTTAAATATAACAATAACGTTGTTGTTAAATTTGATATAATAATTCATATACTAAATTGATATAATATATTGATTATTTTGAATTATATGATAATATATATACATCTATTATAACTGCATAATCCCAATCATTTAAATGACTTCTAACCGCGATTTACACATGAATAAAATTAAATATAATATATGTTTTGATGTTATTTATAGTTGTTGTTATTGTTAATTAATTTTTTAAAATTTATTTGCTTAATGCTTTAATTTCCATCATTATAATTATTTAAAACATCAAACATTATTTTTTTTATTTTAAAGTTAACAATATAATCATTTATATAAAGTTATTTTTAACTATTGTTATTGTAAGTTATTTTAAGCTACTTATTTGAAAACTTTTAACGACTTTAAAAATATATTTAGGAAATATTTTAGTTAAATTGATATTAGAATTTAGTTTTTGCATTTATCACTTCAATTTATCACTTTTAACTATTTAAAAAATATTATTTGGTTTTTAAGTGGAACTGAAATTTATATTTAAGTTGACATTGTAATGTTATATTCAAATTAACAGTTTAAGTATTTTGTCCAAACTGTTCAAAATTTGTAGCTTTAAACTAATAATGGTTTACA